TTATTCAACGGAATCATCTTATTCAACAGGTTAGACACAGTATTTCAGATCCACTAAGACGAAGTTTGATGTCTCAGTCGATATTGGCGCCCCAGTTCTTCAACGGCAGACTAACCTCTGTGATCGATGAAATTTCACACACCACTAATCAGAGATTCCAAAACTCCACTATATCATTGGCATCTAAGCTTAATGAAAAGCGGTCGGCCAACACCGAGAGGCACACGGATCCGTGTTATGTCAGGACGTGAGTCTTTTCGTGCCTCCACTTGAAAAAACTCATCCCGTTCCAGACCAAGCCGAGGGAGACATGAGTCCCAAAGTAGCCGATGTCGTGGTCTATCCTATACCAGAGGTAGAAGTAACCGCCGTTCGTGACTCTCTACACCCAAAAATCTCTCAGCCAAACCATGTTGACCTTACCTACGCTTTGCAGTAAACGGTCAAAGGTTCGAATTCAACGTGCTTCCATTCGGAATATCAATAGCACCATGGTTTTTTACTCGGATTATCACCCCCATCATCGGCTTCGCTCATCTAAATCTTGTAAGATTCCACGGCTATATAGACGATTTCCTCTCAGCCGATCAAGATCTATTGCAGATAAAGTAGAACGCAATATTTCTGATCCAACTTCTATCTCACCTGGGTTTCCTGGTACATCCTGTCAAGTCAGAATTAATACCAACCCAAGACATCGTGTACATAGGGTCGAGGTTTCAACTTTCACAAGGCATTTTACAACCTCCAGAGGACAGATATCTGAGAGCTATAGAAAAGATTCAGAGTGCTCTGGTTATGCCAGGCATCCCTCTCATGTTCCCCCCACCGTTACACCACCTATATACAGACACATCAGGCGAAGGTTGGGGCGCACATATGGACGGCGTCACAATCCAAGGAATGTGGTCAGATCAAGACAAAAAATTACACATAAATTGCCTGCAAATGAGAGCCATTGTCCAAGCAATGAAGGCATGGGCTAACCTACTACACCATTCGTCGGTACTGATAGCTACAGACAACACCACGGTGGTAGCGTACATACAACTTCAAGGGGGCACGAGGTCAGCACTTTTGTTGAGGGAGGTTACGCTGATATTTGCCTTGGCAGGCTTGGTGAGTTGCAGGATAGAAGCGCGGCACATACCGGGAAAAGTAAACATACTGGCAGACTGCCTATCCCGGAAAAACAAGATTGTACCCACGGAATTGACTCTCCACCCCGAGGTATTTAAGTGGATAACCTCGACGTGGGATACCCCTCACCTGGATTGTTTCCCACATGCCTAAATCATCAACTTCCTGTTTACATGAAGATCCCCAGAAGTACCTCAAAATAAGGTAAGTTAGCCTTTACATTATGTCAACTGGGTTGGACAGATCATTGGCTAACATCTGGGATCATAGTCATAGATCATAAGGTGATAGGGTTATTACATTGTTAGTCGCTCGGCGTAACATGTATAACTACCGGAGGTGTTGTCGGGGAAGACTTCAGAACCGGAATTACGTAAAAGAGTACGTTTATCACCAATATATAAAGGGAAACACGTCATCAGCGTAAAAGTACGTCATTATCATACCTGAGGTGAGATAAGTATGTATGCTTGTTGGCTATAGAGCAAAAGGTATATAGATACGTCACAATGACAAATGAACCGGAAGTGACGTCATAGATGACCTCAGAACCGGAAGTGACGTCATAACGACCCAAGTGATGTCACAGGAGAATGAACCAATAGTGTCATCATAAATGCTCTCAGAACCGGAAGTGACATCAGAAAGGTCATTAACCGGAGAGGGAATCATATAAATAAGGTCAAATATCCACCAATAACAGGTTACAATCATTAGATCATAAAACGGAAAGGACGCCACAAGTGCCAAGTCTTCTGCAGGTTGGCCAAGGGTGAAATCAGGAAGTCTGGCATTGAGTCATACCCCGTTATGCCTATGTGTTTCCCTTAATTTAATGCTGCCAATTATCCGGGAGTACTAGATGACAAGATCCCACCTGTCCCTCTGGTAAATACTGGCTATGATGTAATAGAGGGAGGGTATTCGCAGGAATTATCAAACAATAGTTATCATTGTGTATAATTCTAAGAATACTACCTCTATTGCATCAGGAAATAGTCCCTCCCACCTCCCCAATATATCTTACATCTAGTCGATGAAGGTTATTGGAAAGAAGTGATGTTTTCCCGCCTTGCGCATGCGCAGATGCAGTTTGACAAGGGATAGGGTTTACCTAAAGACTATGGGATAATTGGCAGTGAAGAGGACGTCTGTCGAAAAAATCTAAAGATTTTATAGTGTGATTATTGCCAAAATGGGAATATGTGGCTATGATGTAATAGAGGAAGTATTCTTAGAATTATACACAATGATAACTATTGTTTGATATACGCTAGTTTCAAAGTGTCCATTTCTGTAATGAATAATGTTTTGAATAAAAGAATTAAAATAAATTACAAACATAAGTCCAGATATACAAGGAACATTCATTATAAGCAGGTAGTGTAATAAAATGCTTACTTTATCAGATGCCTCCTGACTCAATTTTTTCAAAAGTTGGAAAAGAATCTGGTAATTAATTTATTATGTCCTCGTGTACAACAACTAAAATTAATGAATTGGGGAAGAAATCATCATAATTTTACAACAATTATATTATGGTAAAGTTGATAAGACATTATGTTTGTGTGTAAACCAAAACAATTTTGTTCACTGATATTCTAATTAGTTCTGATTAAAATTTATTGGACAGTTGATTCAATTCGCGAAAACCTTGCATGTAAATCTTAGAATCTCGCACAGTCTCGCGTTAAAGTGCGCATAGTCTTGAGCGGCTGTGATCGGTCTCAAACTTGCCTTGAGGCCCGTCCCTCAGTATATGGTCTCTGTCTAAACTATACATTTATCAAAAACAGCATAACATGGTTGTTGAGGAAACAGATTAATGAGGTTTAATATTAGTCTGCAGCCTATTATGAGGGGGGACAGTGGGGTAGCTTAGTGGTTAAAGCGTTAGCTCATCATGCAGAAGACCTGGTTTGAATTTCACACATGGGTACCATTTCTGTTTTTCTCCAATATGATATTGCTGCAATATTGCAAAAAACAGCGTAAAACCATATTTACTTCCTACGGGGGGTGGCTGAAAGGTTTTGTGCTTTTCTATGATGGAATTGGTTGCTGAATGTTGTTCAACATCATCCCCTGTGAGGTCCACACATCTCTGCCTATGATGCTGGCGTGCCTAGATTCCACTGGTGTAGAAGATTTCCACATTATTGCATTATGCTTGCCAGACAGTTCTTTCTTCAAGTTGGGGAAGTGATGGAAATCTGATGGTGTCAAGTCTGGTGAATACGGAGGATGTTCAATAACTTCAAAACCACAGTCATGCATTGCAGCGATGGTGACAACAACTTTGATCACAAATTCACTGTCCTGTTGTAACAACACCCCTTTAGTTAGTTTTTCTTGACATTTACTCTTGATATTCTAATCCGGTTGCCTAAGCAGATTAGCATAGTATTGGCATTTAATGGTTTGTCCTTTCAGAAGGTAGTCCTCAGCTGGATTCTTTTGGAATCCCAGAGAACCAAAACCATCACCTTGCCAGCTGATGGAACTGATTTAACCGTCTTTAGAGGTTGAGAGGTCAGATGTTTCCACTGCTTTGATGGTTGTTTAGTATCTAGCTGATAGTGATTAACCCTTGACTCATCCATGGTTAAAAATTGCTCAACAAAATCAACAGAGATGATGAACCTGGAGCACTTCTGATCAGGAGTTGGATGCCTTGAATCCAAACATTCTGAAACCTTTGTCATGCCAAGTTCATTCCTCAGATTGTTCTCAACTCGACGCTTGAGAGATGTTTACTGTATTGGCTATGTATTTTATCAACATTTAAAGTTTCCATAGTTGTGGCAGTTGAAGGTCTTCCTGATCTTGGACTAGCCTCAAGCCTCCCTCTTTCCCTCTTGAACTTTGCTGCCTACCTTTAACAGTGGGAAAGAAAGGTGCATCATCCCCAAATGTTAACACCATATATGCATAGGTTTCTGTTGGAGTGAGCCCTTTCAGTTGGAGATACTTGATTAAATAACAGGAGCCAGATTTAGATTAGATAACAGGAGCCATATTTAGATTAGATAACAGGAGCTATATTTAGATAAGTAACTGGAGTCGGATTTAGATTAGATAACAGGAGCCAGATTTAGATAACTGGAGACAGATTTAGATCAGTAACAGGAGCCAGATTTAGATTAGATAACAGGAGACAAGATTTAGATAAGTAACAGGAGCCAGATTTAGATTACAGGAGCCAGATTTAGATTCGATAACAGGAGCTATATTTAGATAAGTAACTGGAGTCGGATTTAGATTAGATAACAGGAGCCAGATTTAGATAACTGGAGACAGATTTAGATCAGTAACAGGAGCCAGATTTAGATTAGATAACAGGAGACAAGATTTAGATAAGTAACAGGAGCCAGATTTAGATTACAGGAGCCAGATTTAGATTCGATAACAGAAGACAGATTTAGATTAGATAACAGGAGCCAGATTTAGATAAGTTACAGGAGCCAGATTGAGATAAGTTATAGGAGTCATTTTGAGGTTAACATGTTTCAATCCCTTCATGTCATACCTTTTGTCTCATATTGATTGTGACCCATGAAGATCCGGGGTAGAACAGGTCTTCAGCAACCCATGCTTGCCATAAAAGACGACTATGCTTGTCGTAAGAGGCGACTAATGGGAATGGGTGGTCAGACAAACAAACAAATCATATTGATTGTAGTTCATTTCAGTAGGAAAGTCTATGGTTTTGATAGGCAACTCAAGTAATAGTTGTAGACCCATGAAAAGGCACATGTACAACAAATGATGACCAGCGTGAGTAGTGTGTCTAGTGTCCCAGGTTCTGTTGGATGCCTGAGATGTGTACCTGTCATTATGTCCTTTGTTTGCATGTGTAGGTAGGATCAACTGCCCATGTACCGGCCAGTGCTATCTTCCTACAGTTGTCCTCCACAGTTGTCCTACCACTGATCCTCGGACAAATGTTGCGGGCTGCCTATAAGCGAAAGCTGGAGAGAAACAGGATCCCTTTTGGAGCCATTGGAAGGTTGGTGCAGAAATGATTAATGATGGTTTTATGTATGGCATTTATATCTTGCATACTTTTCAGACTAAAACTGATATCCAGATCATAAGGTTAGGTTAGTGTAAACATTTAGCTCAACTGGACTTGTCATCATATTATCAATATGGCTTAAAAATACTGTATGAGTAATTCCTTCGAATGCATAACTTCTATTACATCATGTTCAGATATTTAGTAATCATTGAGACTACCATAGCTCTATTACATCATTGTTATAATAAGTTTGGCTTTTTTCAAGCTATAACTAAATTTTCAGATCTTATTCACTGTCAACTATTCATGAATAGTTTTGCCTATATCAGCACACAGTTGTCTACAGCTCTAGCATGGGCATGGGCAGGGAAAACAACTTCTTTCCTCTGTGTGTTTCGAGTTTCTGTTCTCTAGCACACAGTTGAATAAGTTAGTTTTCAGTGTTTTCAAGTTGTAATTACAACATAATTCAGCTGTTTTTAGAAGGTATTTTTCTTTAGTAAGTGTTTTTTTTCCCTCACGTTAGTATTAGTTGGGTGTCTATGTTGTGGGACTGTGATGGCGTCGTCCGTAATCCTTGTCAATATGCAAGAAGTGTGGACATGTACAGAAGATGATAGGTGTAAGCAGTGCTTTTCTGTCTCACAGTCGACTTTTCTCATGTTAGTTGAGTCAGTCGGGAAAGCTAAGTGTAAAGAAATAGCTAAAAAGACTTGCTTACCCTCCGCAGAGCCTCCTCAATCCCCCCAAACTGCAAAGAACCCAACCCAGCCTGCGGCTGCCCATGGATTCTCATTCAGTATGATGGAACATCACTCCTACAAAAGTCAGCTATGGAGACCATATTTGATTCACGCTTGACAGCATTATCATCAGAGATGGAATGGATAAAACAACGACATGATGAACAATCTCAGCAGCTTCCCCCAGCCAAGAGGCCGCAGGGGGACAGTCACGTTTCGAGTCTGGTGATTCCTTTGGTACTGAGTGAACAATCTGCACGAAAGTTGCAGGGGCACTGGATGGTGTACACAGCAATTCTACTACTGTTTGTCATCAGGCAGTACCTATGATATATCCTGTCAAGATTCTCAACTGCCACTGTCTCCATGGGGAACCAAGGATTGCCCCTCTGCAGACCCGTAACCTCTCTTGAACTTGGACACTCTTCCCGCCATCACAGGACTGTCCCAGCCACCATATGTATGGAGCACAGATTTGGCAGGAAAGATGACATCACACATAGGTCAATCTACTGGTACGAATGCCTGTTTTGCATTAGATCACTAGCTGCATCGGAACAGGCTGGATTCAATTGACACCATGGTACCCTCCCGGGACTTAAATTTTACCATACAGACTCCAAATTGGATATCATGGAGGATTATGTAGACTCTGATTACTCTACTCAGTTTCAAAAGAATTGAACCATCTAATGCCAGATTTGAAACCAAAGACTGAGGAGACACAATTACGACACAAATGTTGGAATATGCAGGTTGCCAAACCCTGGCTCTTTCATCCCATGTTCACCTTATGCTTCTGTGGCTGAGCTCTGACATGTCTCTAACAGCTTTCAAAAATTAAAACATTATCTTCCTCTTTCTTCATTAGGACAGCTTTTATATCTGATGATTGACTGCTCTCTCTCGGGAATTTCAAATGTTTGACTGAGTTTTCTTCAAATTGGTATGCTTACCACCAGAGTTACATTACCTTGGTTCAGGTCAAGGATCTCTCCTTGGTGAACAAGTATGCAATGGATATTGGTACTTACATTAATTGGTTTGTCGCGGGAGTCTGCCATGTCATGCCACGGCTACAGGACTCATATGTGGGGATCTCTGTTGGTACACCATTCACAATTAGAACAGACCAGATGAGTTTGATCCAGAGGCTTCTTGACATGATTGTCCAGATGTAGGAGGATTTATGTACACAGGTATGGATGTCGTCTCAGCTGTACCACTCAAAGGTTGCTGAGGATCACCTATTGAAAGCTTATATGTCAAATTGGGTGCATCTGTTAAAAATGCAAACAAAATGTGACCAAAACTGAAACATAAAAACATCATGAAATCACAGCCTGGCACCGTCATGTCATGCTGCCAATAAGTGTCTGGATAGTTGCCATTCGAAGATTGTTCCACTCTTCAGCAACGGTGAAGCGATACACCGATATTCCGATACATCGCGATATTTGACCTACGATATGATACAATACATGATACATGTCTAGATATATTTTCCCAAAATTTAATTGCCCATAATTGAGTGTGCATATATAACACATGAGTGTGTATCATACACGAATAAATAAGTCTTGTGAACATTGATCAATCAGAAGGGGTGCTAATTTGGATTGTTCACTGGCCAATATATTAGCAAATATTGCCGTGGGCACTTATTAGAGCGGGGCGCTTATTACGTCGAATACAGTATTTATCGAATCGCCACAATACGGAACGCAAAGTACTGTGTTCCCTAGCTATTGCTCCCTTCAATATTGCGCTTACTTGGTTATAGTGTGCGGTAACACATGCCTCCCCAAATTACCTTACATTGTCAATAAACACAAGTTTTACACTGAGTTTTTCCCCATCTTAAAAAATTATTAACAGCTGACCATGTACCACCGCAAATACCAGTCAACAAATTCAAACAGATGTACACAATGTCATCCCATTATCATACGATCTGGTTATATAGACAAGATCATTCTATATCTGGACTTGTTTGTAATGTATTTTATTAATTTTATTCAAAGTTTCATTTAATATTTTTTGGCAAAATCGTGTGTGAAGTGATTGGTAGATCGCCAGGTCACCGTTATTTACAGCAACAAAAGTCTGATTACCGCTATTGACGCCTTGAAACAAACTTTAGTTGCAAGAGAATGGAGACACATATCATAAATGTCATACTTTGACTCCTTAAAAGTCATATTTGTGGCAATTATACTTTTAGATATTTATAGTAAAAGCTGCAACACGATATTGGAATATATTATTCCCAATAAAACAATATTTTCAGATACAATTTCTTCCGACCATTGCATCAAAATTCTTTGAAGTTGTATCATTGGGTATTTTCTAACTGAATCACTGGTAGATAGGGAGAAATGTGTGTGCAGCTGATTGCTATTTCTGCCTTAGTTTATGAGAAAAGCACATGGTAATCTTAATGTCTGCATACAAAACAATGCCTTGGAGAGCAGGAAATACAATGATAACTCATCATGTCTAGTTATGTTTTATGTCAAATTTAACATTTTTATTGACCAAGTTTATCGTACCTGTTCATTGACATTAATTCACTGGAGGGATACGATGTGGTTTTTTTTAAAGCACATTACACTCGATAAATCTTTTTTAACACTATGAATCATAAACTACTAATATTCTAATCTTTTTTCAAATTCTGAAACGTACATCATAGATCGTGTTAGGTCGGCAGAGGATGTAGTATTGTTTTTGTCATCTACCCCTTATGACTCCACCTCTGTTAACACTCAACAGCAGGAGAGACCGCCTCCATGGTCTAGTGGTAGAGCATGTTTCGAAGTTCCTTCCGTTACACAATGATTGACGTAACGTTCACTTGGACGTCGGTACACTCGAATCTGTCCGTCGCTGTGGCTGAGGTGAAAACGAGACTCATCAGTGAATAGAACTTGTCCCCACTGCATGCCCGTCCAGCGTAGACGCGGTCTGTACCACTGTAGACGTGCTTGACGGTGGTTTCCTGTCAAAATGGGACGTCTGGCGGGTCTTCTGGCGACAATCCCAGCACATCTGAGGCGACGACGTACGGTTTGTGAAGATATTCATCGAGGGCCAGGGATGCTTCTTGCAGTCACTGTTGCCTCCTGGAATCGATTTCGTAGGTGTGTTGTTCGAACACTCCGAGGATGGTTTCTGACTGCTAACGTTGCCATAAACACCAAATGGTGTGCATGCTTTTCTGTAGCAGATGCGTTTTTGTGACTTGATTCCATACATGTACTACAATACTGAAAACCAAACTTTACTTGTTTGAAAAATACACTAAAATATTGGTGTCACAGGAACTTTTGTTGTTGAGCATATATGCCATGGTAATGAAACATCCCATTGAATTATGAACCCAAGCTTACATACAAACGTGACAAATCTCTATGTTCAACACCCCTATCTCGCTGAAGCTCGTCTGAATCACTGAATCGATTTCTTAGGTGTGTTGTTCGAATCCAGTTATCTTGTCGATTATTGGTTACGCATGGCCTGCCACTCGAAGGTGGTCTCTGACTGCATTCGTCTTTTGCTAACGTTGCCATAAACACCAAATGGTGTTTCTGTGGATGTTAAATTGTCTTGCAACATCACGTTGACTCGATGCTGCTTCAAGCATACCAATGGCTTGCAGGCGCTCATTTACGGACAGGCTTGGCATTTCGTAATGTTGAATAATTGCATAATTTTATTGTTTTTCTGAGTGGTTGTTGTCAGCACGATGCTAAACAATACATATGGAATCCCGTTAACCCACATGTTTTTATACCCATTCTTGGGTAGTGAAATGCATGGGGCTTACATGAAAGTCAACTTTTGCATGGAATGCATGCTTTTTTGTAGCAGTTGCTTTTGTTACTTGTGTACTTTTTTGAAAAATACGCTAACATATTGGTGTCACAGGAACTTTTGTTGTTGAGTATATGTAGTGCACACCTGTCATTGTGCCCTGCTGTAGGACATGAAGATCGGTTCTTCCAGCTCAACTGATCCTACCTTAATAATTGAGCCATCTCCATAGAGGTCAAGTTTGGCTAGGTTGGAATCCTGAAATCTTTTCTCCTTTTCTACGCCACACTTGGGTTAAAAAAAAACAAAACTTCTGGTTTATTGCTTTTTGCAAGGTTGTGATGTAGATTCCTATTATTATCAAGCTATTAAGAGTGAGTACAACCAAGTACCGTATTTTCTTGAGTATAGTGCACACTTTTTTTCCCA